GCATATTCTGTAAATCGTCTCTTAGCAACCATTTCATGCAATTGCCTCGCAGGTGGCTGGAAAGGGAATCAGCAGCAGTCAGCTGAATGTACTTTTCAGCATCTGTCGTCCCAAAAAGTCTCCGAACAAACACCTGCACCCTTCCACATGTAGCCCTATCAAATTGTTCTAGTAGAAAAACTTTTAGAACCTCTCTCTGGGCGCTGTCTTTAGTTCTCTCTGGCAAGGCTCCACCCACTACAGAAGTAATACAGGCGACCCATAGGACTCGTCCTGAAGTGTTAGCCGCGTTCGTCCGGTCTTCTTCCGGTCGCTCAATTCCTCAGTGCTCCAACTCCAGTGTCTGCCTTGCTTCCTTCAAGAGTGTATCACTTGTTCTCATTTCAATCCCGCTCTTATCCACCCAGCTTACATATCGTCAAATATCACACATTATTATTGTATCGTTATTGTTGCTATAAACTGTTCCATCCAAACTCGAGGTTGTTCAAGACAGTTACGGAAAAAAGTCCCGCGTGGCGAATTCGTACAAAGTCGAGCATTCCACGTACAGTTGGCGGACAAAAGACCAATCCGACCAGCTCCCTAATCCACTGGCCAACTAACACATTAGGACTGCTCAAAGAGGCCATCGACCAATTAAAGACCCGAAAGCGCTCGCTCATCTTTTCGATTCGACAGTCCTCCCAGTGCTGTATTATGCAGCAGCGAAGTGGCCCGATACTTCAAACCATGTCCAGATTACTGCGTATCCCCACAGAGCGCTTGAACGATGTCTTCTGAAATATAAAGGGGCAAACAATATCTAGTTGAAATGCGAATATCTGATCTCCGAAATCGGTCTCACCTTCGAGACCCAGAAGAACACACACACCGATAGGGAAGTGGACCGATTACATAATGTGAGGAAAAGACGGCAAGTGGACGAAAAGGACATGTTGACAGTAGTTATTCAGGCTGTGCTCGCTGCTGCAGTTGCTTCACAACTATGATACTCGCACTCGTCAGCATGTTCTGATCAAGCGACCACCATGAGCGATAACTGTGAGACAAGGAAAAGAATGGAAATATGCTGTGGTCCATACAACTCATGAAGAAGGGAAGCCCAAGTGGCTAAGTAGGTAAGCTCGTGTCAGCTCAGTAGTCCAGGAAACTACTGATTATTTACGTCGAGGTTAAATAGTCGGTTTTTAGAGATCTAAATTAATTGCGTCAACTTTTCACTCAGCTCTGCCAGAATTCAATGCAGGCCAAGTAGGTTATGAAACATCTTGACAAAAGAAATAGTTCCTCTTAAAAATGATGTCGGTTTCTGTCTTTTTAAATTCTAAAGTTTTGATTTTAAATGAGACCATATCTTTATGTATTATCACACATTGTGCATGTACCATCTATTAGGGTGTGTCATGTTATATATCGTTTGAAATCACAGGCTTCGCTCCACGTTTCTATGTTACTTTGATCTCACATTGTTGCTAATTAATGATTAAACTGCTGCATAGACTTGCGCCTCAGGCTAACGAAGTCCTCCGCCGGGGTTTACATATTGGTAGCAGACCTCTCCATGAGGGTAGAAATACTAACATGATACATCGCTAGGCCTCCGCATGTTATTGTATAGGCTAAACATGGATGCAGTCATCTCTGTGATAGTACGAATGGAATCGAATGCTTGGGCGTATGTTAGACTATTGATCAACACTGGTCGCAGTTTCCATTTATTAAATAGAATAATATATGTCATGTTTTCGTTTTTATACAAGTTGCTTTTGAATTTTGCCCGATGGCGAGCTGAAGAATGAACACAGAAGCGAATTCCAACAACTTTCCTTTCGAGAGGATCAACTTGTGTCGCTTATCATCTCACCGCAGTCAACACTGTAAAAAACATGAATGGATTGGAATGCGGAACATTCAGCATGTTTACCAGCCGTTTATCAGTTTTCGCTCATCCTGGATACCATCTGCGAATGTCTTGAACAAGTTAAGTACCCGTTACTGAGATCACGGAAAAGTGATTCTTGTACTCCAGCAGACTAGAATTCTACTTCGATGGAATTAGTGAACTTGCCTTTTATTGGGAAAGATGGGTCACTTTGTAAAATTAGACCAAGAATGTTCCCTGTAAGCTGAGATATATGCAGTTAAATTATAAGTTTCAAAGCTTCTTACACTGTTGTCCGATACGTCTGCCATATTACCAGCAGTGTATGATTGTTGTAAACAATTAAAGTTGGGAAGTAACTTTTCACAAAAATCTCACGACATTAAATTTCTTCAATTTTGCAAATCCCTTACATTCTAAGGCTTCAATTCTGTAATGTGATTTGCTGTAGTAAAGGATAGGTGTAGAGGAATCCCTAGGTTCGGAAATGATAATCTAGCGATGATAAGGTCCTGTTTATCTTGCCCTTCACGTCCAGCGAAATAATAGTAACGCAGATTGCTTCAGGTGTTACCAAGCCTGCTAAGTAGAAATATATGCTATGTTATCACGGTGTTATCAAAAATGGAAACAAATTCCTTCCTTGAAAAAATTCAGTTGAATAAACCTAAGCATTGCTCATAAGTAGTGACATCTAGAGGCTCGGTTTGATTGGAATTATACTAGTATTATGCTTAACCTGGGGATAAAAAGTGGGAATCCCTATGTCAGCACGACTTGAACACAAATCTTTTCATTATCATTGGTTAACTCATAGTCGTACGTCAGGCTTTCTTTATCAGATAACTAGTGTCTGTGCACCTTCCAGCGGATGTCATTGCAAAAATAGTCACTGTTTTTGAAATGGTATGATCTGTTACACACATACATCGACGCCTCTAATATTTTATATTATGCAAAATATTTCCCACTAAACAAATACTGTGCTGATTCGTTTGCGATTGTCCGATATTGTCGTTTTTAGAGATGCCTTTAAGATTCAACAACTTTTATTTCAGACAATAAATGTGCTGCACCATTCTACTTTGCATTTTCGCCATTTTCTGTCCTGTAAGCTAATATTTCGCTTCGCATTTTTTCACTTACTCACATGGATTCTTGGACGGCCCGACCTCACTGGGTGTGTGGGCTCAAGCATAATCTTCATCTTTCGGAGTTTTGCTGATTTAGCCATGATGTTTCCCTGGAGTCCCCAGGTGAGCTTGGCCAAAGTCTGCCCCAAGTTTTCACCACCACAGGCAGTCGCCGCTCTTGTGAACCAGAAGGAGATTTTCCACCATGCGGCTATTTTGATACCATGGCGGTAGTGGATCGTGGTATTGGTTTACTCTTAGTTGGGCTTCCTTGTGTGGTTATGCCGGACTCTTTCTCAGTTTGGGAGATCCTGCCGAGTGATGAATACCGCACAGTACATCGCAGCCCGACGGCCAGGAACATCTGCCAGCGACTATGAGGTGGTAAAGCGTTGGAAGGAATTTACTGGCAATTTTTACGTAGTAAAGAAAAGTTGGGAATTGTTTCCTCTTTAGACATGGTCGATCTCGTAGCATTTTAATCATAGTACCTTAAAATAGGTTAGTTTGGAAAGCTTCGTCATCGCGACCAGGGTGAGGAAGAGATCGACATTGCTGTCCAGATCTCCTGCTCTTAGTGAAGCTGCTACCTTACCAAGGAGAACTGTAATCACCCGTGGATGGGCAATTCCCTGTTTGTCGCTAAAAAGAGGGTGAAGAAAGAGAATCATACCAGAAGTGTGAGCTGTTCGTTTCTCATGGCCAAGCGTAGCTCCAATCACATTTAAGAATTTACCAACAAACTTGGCAAGCGAATGGTTGAATAGTTTGAAAAGATTAGCAGCATTACTGTGTTTAAGCGAAATAAATCGATCATGTCACTTTAGAGGCTGCCATGGTAAGTCTTTTTTTAAAATACTTAATTCTGGCCAATGTCATAATCGCCATTGTTCACCAAATCGACGGTATTGCAGCCTCTTGCTGTGCTTGTAGACCGAGGTTGCAGTGATCAATTCTGGATCAATCTTCTTCTAACATTCATCTTATATATCCCTGGCCTCGTCCATGCTTTCTGGCTTATTCTCTGCCATCCTGACGGCTATCATTATCGCCACCATCATCATCATCATCACCATAATGAGTGCTATTAAAATTTTCCCATGTGCTACTGTCTGATACTGATTCTTAAGCATTAGCATGATTCTGTGTTAAACGAGTTTTGGCGAACTGAACATCTTAAATTGCAATAGGAACTAATGTTCGAAGTGTAACAAAATTTGCACCTTTAAATCCTTCCATATTGGACATGACCGTTCGAATGCACCGACTTTAATAACTATTCGCTATCACGACTTATCAGTATAAAACGAGCTTCGGTTCACTGCCAATCTCTTTTTCGTTCCAGTTCACTGATGTATGTTTGTAGTTTCCATAAAAGTCTAAGTTCTCATATGTTGCATTCCGGAATCAACACTGAGAAATTATGTTTTTTCATAAAAAGCATTTCATATTCACAAGTTGGTTTCTGGTTGCCTGTAACCTGTATTGTTGTGTAACGCTTTTAAGCGCACAAAAGATAGAGGCTATCGGACGCCGTGCACTACACCTATTTTGTCGAGCTGCACAAGAAGCTCCCTTCACTCACGAGACATGGAGCGTTACATACATTCGTACGAGGCCGTTTTAGTGCTTGTTCCATTAAGAGAGTAAAGAAAATACCATTATTTATTTCATTGAATTCTATACTTAGACACCTGGAGTTGTACTACACGTACTTCCAAGTCGCGGGTTTATAAACGAATCGAGGTGTACGGTACAATTCTTATGCACACAAATGCACCCACTTATATACATATGGATATGATAGCACGTTTATGCATGGCACTGTTCAATCCTGCACGCACAGTGAGCGAGTCTGTGTTTGTATCAAACCTTCCTTCTTGGAGTATGCACATATTCGGTAAAATATGGATGAGCCTCTAAGATGAGATAGACTCGGGTAACCAGAGCTTAGCATTCTGGCTACATAATATGTCCTCTGGCTATATTTGAGAAGACATCGTTGAAGGGCTGTTTGCGTAGTGCGTGACTGAACTGTCAGTCCACGCGTCTACTGTAGAAGAGAGCGCTGGAATCGAATCGAAAGGTGAGCGCTGATTTTTAAGGCGATCTTGCTCGATAGCTTCTTTGATAGGCCCGAGTTTGATCCCTACTGCTTTCCATCCTCCCTTTAATTTCTGCTTCCCGTTCTCTACAATCATTGAGTTCCCAACGCACACGTACGAGGTGATTTCTGTACTAAGGGAACCGTCCAGTTGGATTTGTTCACCTTCGCGCCATGGGTTCGTCATGAACTGGGTTTTCTTCTTATTCATGCGTAGTCGTATCATTTTTTCCGCTTCGCTGAGTTCACTGATTATTGTTATGCTTTACTGGTATTCTTCGAGAAAACGAGGATCTAATCCAAGAAACGAATATTTGATAAGAATTTTCCATTAATATGTTCGTCCTTTTCGTCCTAATCGAGTTACTTCATTATTCTCTGCACTGCAGCAGTAAACAGCTTTGGCGATATGGTGGCGCCTTATCGAACACCTTTTCCTATGGTATGGTAATGGGTCGAAGGTCCTTATATAGGATGGATCCATTCCTTGGTCTACGAGCGCTATTAGGATTGTATTTGTTTCGACTCTGTCAAACGCTTTCTTGTTGTCGATAAAAGTCAGTACTATTGGTAGATGGTACACTTGGAAAGCTTCAATGGCGTGTACACGGCTTGGATGCAGTTCATGTAGTAAAATCCCTGTCGAATTCCTGCTTGGTCAAATGGTTGCGGCTCATCCAATGTCGTCGATGTGCGCAAAAAGATAATCTTCTTTAAAAGCTTATGCAGTCCACTTACCGATCAAACTGGGAGATAATTACGAAGATGCCTTTGATAACTCATCCTGGGCAAGATAACCGTGCGCAACGTTCTTCATTGGCCCAGATTTCTTTCTTCCTTTTGAAGGTGAATTGTTACATGAGTTGTGAGAAGCAAAAGAAATTGACAAGATTAGATTAGAGTTACCAGCTCCAAGAAATTCGGCGCTGTCATCTGTCATGTCATCGGGGTCCTGCAGTTGTGCCTTTTTCATGCTCTCTATCCCAACTCTAACTTCAAAGGGAAGGATCACTAGTGGTTTCAGCCGAGTTGGGACTCCAAGTTATGAGAAGGGGATCGTGGAACAGAAGAGGCTGTAGGACCTCGCCTTCCTCAGAGCCTAGAAAAGTTGTCGGAAACGTCAGCTTGTTCATAACAAAGAATAAATTAACAACGTCGTGTTTCCTCATCAAGGGAACAGTGAATTACTCGATCAATACCGTGGTTAATAGAAAGTTGGTCGTTGGAAAAGGCTGGTATAGAAGTTCCCCATAATCAGTTCTATATAGGGGCGACTGGTAATGATCTTCGTACATGCATCACGACTGAGATTAGGACAATGTACTCGCACAAGCACCGGTGGCAATTTTACAGCCTCGTTCTCTTCTGCGCTGCTTCTAACGGTTTCTGTCGCCTGCTCCGATTTAGATCCTACTGCAAAGAATTTCTGTAGCTGGCATTTATTATTATCTGTGTTAAGTGTTGCAATGGGATTACGCTTTAGTTTCTTCTATTTCACGAGTAACTCCTTAGTGGTAATGGAGATTCAATTTGATCTCGCTTGGGAAAATGAGGCTATTTGGGCGAAACTTTTAAGTCCTTCGACAAGCAGCTCGTAATGTTCAGTCCGGTCTTTGCTAATTTGCCAATTTTGTACCGAAATGATTTGGTTCGGAATCTTTTTGTCATAAACAGCTTAACTTTTTTCTTAGCCGATAGCATGAATTCTTTTCCAGCTTACGGCTAAATCAAGTTTTCGCACGAAGAAGACGGTGATCGGAACCGCTGCAAAATGATGGGATTACCAGTTCGTCATGCAGGCACCATCTTCTATTTGTGAACGTATGGTCAAACTCTGCATATCGTAATTTTGGGTGACTCCCACGTTCAGTGGCTGCTTTTTTACTTCTGGAAAGCCGAAGAAATTCCTATGGAAGGGATGTGGTGCGAATAGGAGTTCTGCAAGATGTTGTCAATTCTTATTTCTTTCTTTTCTCCTAATTCAGACTTTTCGATCTTGTATTCATTTTCGTAGGCTTTTCCCATTCTAGCCCTGAAGTCCCTGACAAGAAATTTACAAAATATTTATCACTGCAGGTAACTCCCTTCAAATCAATACTAGAACGCATCTAATTCGTATGAATCCGCTGCATCGGTCAGTGAATAGGAATTTATGACCTGATTTTCTTTTATTGTGGAGGTTGGAGGCGAAGAATGGCTCGAACAACCATAAAAGCATGCCGCAAAGCCAACGCCATCGACCTTTCATAACGGGAATTCCTTCCCACGTATAATAAGTGTCCCGCCATTTAATTGACTTATGGCGGTCTTCTTGATTTCTTTTTCTTGCAAGGCGATAACATGGAATTTGATTCCATCTGCAGCTTCAAAGAGAGCGTGAAGATTGGCGTCTGAGGAGAATGTTCTGGTGTCATACATACAGAGTAAGAAACAATCTCTGTGGCGTGTCTCGTGCGTGTTCGTCAGATCCGTTTCTGGTGACGTCCTGGGTCACCAGAAATTTAGAGAGAGGGACAATTTGTGTAGAGACAATGAGGCTAACTTATTGCTACTTGAGCAATTTGACCTTCCCTGTAATCCTGATCCAACTTTGCAATGGCGTTTTCAAGTCTTCACCGCAATGTGGGTCTGAGGAGATTATCTCTTCAGCAGCGGTTCCTTATATTTGTCATCCGACTAGGTAATTCAACCTTGATATATAAACAAAAATCAAAAGTGGAAGTAAAGATGAAAAAATAACTGATTGCTCAAGGACGATGTAGAAGCCGAATTCCGATATCGTGGTGAACAAGTAGAACTAAAACGCACTAAACCAAAACTATTAAAGAAAGAAAGAGGACATGGTTAGGATTCTCACTGGGTTCAATCCATCACATAGCGTCACTTAGCCTCAGGAAAGATGATGGAAAATAAGCGGAGCTTTCTAACGAGGAAAAGCTGGATCAGATGGACAGTAATACTTCTCGAACTTCTGCTTCGGTTTTTGTGCGACTTTCAGCTTTGTTCTGAAGTTACTGGTTCCGAGTATTGGTGAGAGCAGGAAATCAATACTTTCTACAACGTTCTTTTGGATCTAAACGATTTTTTTAATGAGCAGATTATAACAAGGATGAAGCGCTTGGCGCCGATTCGCACCTGAAGGATGCGCCATGCATTAGACTTCACCAAACATCATCAGAGGTGATTAAATGCATACCTGGCCAGCACAATGAGTGACTCGTGGTGACCCATTAATGTATCAGGTTAGAAACTTCATGCAAGGGTGGTAGCAATTTGCCAACTTCGGGAGGATTGAACAGTTGATGAACCCGAGGCACCGAGGAGGGGTATCGAACCAGAGACCACGTGCGTGTTGCAGGACACCTCGGAGCACACAGCTACAATACATGTGCCCACATTAAATATATACTTACTCCAGATCATATTAAGAAATTTTAACTTATTATTTACTGCTTACGCTTTTTAATGGCAGGGTATATTGTGAAAAGTAACTTCAATGATGATGAGATATTTGCAAAACTTCGGACCGCAGGTGTCTGTGGTGGGGAACGAACGCGCTATTGTCTTTTCCGGGGGCTAACGCGTTCACCACCACACCATGCGGTTCCTTCGTTTCGCGTGTCTCTCAGCTAGTTCTACCGATCACTGCCATCAGCAATCACACGTCAAAAGGATTGATTCGGGGAGCCCAAATCGGCACTGAACGCAGTTAAGCTGAGGCTATGGTTATAATCACAATCTCAACCTACTAGTTGAGAGACAGGCGAAACGAAGGACCCGCATGGTGTGGTGGTGAACGCGTTACTCCCCGGAAAGGGCAATAGCGCGTTCGTTCCCCACCGCAGACACCTGCGCACTGGAGTTTTGCAAATATCTCAGCATCATTGAAGTCATATTAAGAAAATTCTCTACGTCGAAATAGCCAAAAAGACGAATGAATAAGGCAGGCAACATTTTTTCCATAAAAGCTATATTATTTCAATTTGTGTTAGAAACGGCATCAGGACGGTCCTCGTACTATTTGTTATTATACTTAAGAATTCTAATAACAATAGTGAACAATATTGACTAACGTCGCTAATTACTAGTAACTGAACACTAAAAGTCCTTAGGTAGACATCAGAGAGAAGACGCATTGTGGAGTTGGCTTCTGTTTGGTAGGGTTATCATATAGAATTATCATATAGGGGCACATGTAGCACAGTGCTTAGAGGTGGCCTGCAATACACGCAAGATCCACCACGCACTCCAAGCTCTCGAAGCCTTCCATCCTCTCGTGGTCAGCAAATTGGTAGCAGACTTTAATAACTTTCAACTTTTGACAGCATAGAATTTAAACCAAAATCTGATCCAGAAGCGTTTGAGGGCTAATAAGTCGAGGAATATTGTCTTACTCTTGTCCGGAAGCTACACTGATGATGTCGGGTTGCCCTTGACACTTAGGGGATGTCGTTTGTATCTGCGGAATCGTGTGGCGTTCCTGAGACCTAACATGCATGGTGATGTTGGTTACACGAATTCAACTGTGCTCCACTCTTATTTCCATGAAGCAAACTGGGTATGAGTTGGTTAAATTCGACATAAGACTAGAAAACATTCCAAAACATGCTGTCAACGAGATCAGCTGAATTTCACAGCACCGCATGCGGATTGAAATTTATGAGCAGAATTGGTGGCTGTCCGAATTCCTCATGATGACTAGGATCGTCCATTGTAACGAACAATGTCAAAAGCTTCCCTCCTAACAAGTATTCCTTATTGTGTAAGTAAGAGCAACGATTCGGTAGTATTCGATAAGATGTCGGTGACCAGTTGAGCCAGTTACCTTAACACCAAGAGGTAGACAGGAACTATCAGATAGTGGGTCTCACGGGCTCTCATACATACGGCACGAGGACCATTGACCTTAAGGTCTGAATTCCTCACGATGAGTCTGGGAAAAGATAATGCTCAGCGAGTCCCAATCGTGAACGGAACTAAGTTGGCTATTCATGCTCGCAACAGGGACAAATGGAAACTTCACAGGTTATCGTAACTTCTATCTCTTGCGTTTCTTCCTGGATTTTTTCGTATTTTATAGCAGGACGATGCCACAAACCTGGATATAATGTAGCGAGTCCCGATGACATATGAACACTATTTCAACACCTGTTTTCAGCATGTGTGCTTCTCCCATTCTTCACTTGAAATCACTGAACGCATAAGTCGGGTGAAGTTAAACCACGACGCAGTTACGAACTCCACTGAGGTCTGCGTCCTAAACTTAAATTTTGGTCTGTGTGTTTTGAGGGACACTAAATAATGTAAATAGCTCGCCCACGCCGACTACCATTAATCATGGAACAGAACTTCTACTGAATTGGTGATTTTCTGATTCCTCAATATACTACTCCCTGGAAAGCCTTGCAAGAACTTTCGCAGGCTAGCCAGTAACTATTTCGTTGCCAGAATTGCAGTAATTCCTCGTATTGGTTTACTTCTAGCTGGCATCAAGAAGAAAAAGCTGGACACCTAATCAGCTGGTAACCTTGCTAGTGGGATAACCATGGGATGCAAACCACAGACCCACCCCCACAAACATCTACTGGTTACAACGAGGTAAAGCGGCAACGTGGAAAAATAAAGCGTAAAATATGAGGTATTGCCATGAGCTACATCCACCACGTAGTAAAAGACGACGAATGTAATATCATCAACTTCCGACTTCGACCATCAGATTTTTGCGGTTATAAGCCCAGTATTCCTTCTGTTCCGTACTTTTTAGTCTGTTCATGCGTTCTTCTCGACTGACGGCTACTGTTGTGTTTTACTTTTAACCTCTGTCTTTGCATCTCCAGCGAATTTGCCATTTTTGGCTGTATGAAAGTGTACTTATTTAGACATGCAGTTTATTATAAATAACTGGAAGTCGCGTGTCGGCGGACCTGTGGATGCCAGTGAGTTATTGGCGTTCTTTCTTATTTCTGTTGCTTAACTTGTTTCTTTCACATTTAGTGAAGAAAAAAAAGCATTTTTCCTAAGTGATGGCTGGGAAAAAACTGACCCCCGGATAAAATCCTGGAATCTCCCACACAAGTTCCACACTCACGTGATTAAAGTATTTTTAGGTGCTTTTTTGAAATCGTTACGTTCCTCCCGGTCACCTGCGAAGGAGAAGGAAATGCTAATCGATGTATTCGACGACTGGGATGTTTTAACCAACACTTGGTTTGAGGTAACTTTTTATAATAGCTATCTAGGGTTTCAGGGTCATAAAATGATTTAACATGAGGCTTTAGGTTGCAGACTGTGCAAGCTTTATTGAGGAACTTTCAGAAGACAAGACGTTCCCAGCACGACAGAAAGCCGCACTTTTGGCGTCAAAAGTATGTTTCTTCGATAAGGGTTTTTCTTCCAGCTCTAATTAGGAACTAAAGTTGCGGGTTTCAAGGCCATTAGCAATTTCTTCAGGTTGCTTTCTGTCTAGAGGATTATGAAAATGCGTTGAACTTCGCTCTTGCTGCAGAAACTCATTTCAAGCTCACTCCTAGACCAAAGTCAAAAACAGTGGGAGAGAAAGATGATGAGGTATGCTTATGAAGTCATCTTTTCTATATTTCTTGTTCAAATTTCTTTTTGCTTCTCGATCACCTTGTTGTAGTTTTGTCGTTTTCTTTCAGTATGTAAACAAAATTATCGAGGTCGCAATTGATTCTTACAAGAAAATTAAAGCCAGTGGGGAGAAGGCAGATGCTCGTTTGGAAGGTCTAATTAACAGAATATTCCAGCGCAATTTGGAAAAGGTACCGTTGTTCGATTTTCTTATGATTTAGACTAGGTTTATCTATGTTAGATCAAGCTGTGTCTCTGTGTTAAAAGTGTTTTTAAAGTCTTTTTTCCTATCAGTGCTTGGTTTTGCTGAAAAAAATTTGAAGAAACTACATCTCTATAAAAATCAATGTTTCAGTAGAAAGTAGATAGAGCTAGGTGGCTACTTCATTACGTAGGCCATGTCTTACGTCTGCCTAGGGTGTTAATGGACATAGGAAACGATGTGAAGTTAAGAAAGTAACCAGCTGACCTAGGCAGGACTCAGCGCGTATGTTTTCGATTCAGCTGTCCTCATAGCGCTTTTTTACGCAGCAAAGGCTAGCCTGATGCTTCAGCCACGCCGAAAACTCCGTGCATCGTTCAGTGATCTGTTGAATGATTGTAGAACAACTGAGACACGGAGTATGAAGCTCAGATGCACAGTGCACACTTGGAACATCATTTCCTCTTCGAATTCTAGGAGAATATGCTTCGAAAGTGAAGCGTAAATGTATCTATTGTACAATGTAAGGAGCTAGTGACATTGATGGCAAGGTGAGTAACAAGCATCACAGGAGGAAGCAGAGATCCTGTATATGCGATGACGTTAAGGATGTTCAGATGTGTTTATGATTCATGGCGACAGGCTATTTTCGAAAGTGGAAGTACTGAGCTGTGGTACTCGCCAAACTCATCAAACACAAAAGAAGCCACAACCATGGGTTACGATTGCGAGAGAACAGGCGTATTGGAAATGTCTTGGGACTTATGAATGAAAGGGCAAAGGATAAAACTCTCGGCGTTGATCAATCCCTAAAGGATGCGCCATGCATTCGACTTCATTAAGCGTCGTTGGAGGTGACAATGATTCGTGGTAACCTACCGATGTATCGAGTCAGTGTTCCTACCCTCCCAGACAACTCTGGTACCAATTTGCCGACCCCGGAGGGATGGAAGGCTTGGTGAGCCATGGGCACGGTGATCGATCCTATGTGTGTTGCAAGGCGCCTCGACCACTCCGCTATACGCTCCCTTACTCATTAATACGCATTCAGATTATTCTTTTATAAAGCAAAATGAATTTCAGAATTAGTAAAGTGATCTGCTAGTGTTTGCTTTAATCTACTCAGTTTAGTTGAAAGGAAGCCCAATCAAACTTCCTTTTTTTTGACAGCGGTGTAAAATTCTTCGACATAGTGCATTTTCTGAGAAGAAGATGACTATAAGATGCGAAATATTTCTAAGCACTACATGGAAAGATTTGAGACACCTATTGTTCTGGTTCTTAGATTTTCTTGTGTGATTTCAGAACGAGCTCCTTTATGTAATAGGTCTTGCACTGGATACTCGTCGTATCGATATGGTTGAGAAAGCAGTTATGAAAAGCACTGAATCACACGGTACGATGTTGTTTCCCCTTAGTATTGATTTTTATTTTGTTCTTAATACTGACATTGATAGTAAGCTAAGTTTCAGTTTTACTTCTTGAGACGATTCAAAAAGTCACTACGGCTAAGATGGATGTACAACTGCGTACACAACTTCTTGATGTACTTGTAAGACTTTTCACCAGCAATAAACATGCAGATTTTGTGGCTATCTGTCAGGTAATCAATCTATCGCTCAAAAGTTATCCTTCTGTTTTGTCAGTCGAACAGTTGTCTACTTCTTCAGTGTCTCATAAAGCTGAATCGTCCGGAGGAAATTGGTAGACTTCTTGATCGACTTATGTCTCATGGGGTGGGATTCCATGTTTTTTTCTTTCCTTTATTTCTGGTTTTTTCTTATATATGTTTCTTCTTACATGTGTTACAATGGGTCGTTTATCGAGCGTTTACTTGTATACCTACTTGGATGACCCGTCTTCACCGGTTGTGCGGACCCCAGCATAATTCCCACTTTCTCGGAATTTTACTGGCTTAGGCATTGTGGTTCCCTGGTGTCCCGAGGTCAGCACAGCCAAAGTCTGCCTCGGGTCGTCACCACCACAGGTTGTCGCGGCCTTTGTGAATCAAAGGGAAATTTGCCACCATGCAACAAATCTGATACCAGGACGGTGGTCCATCCTGGCGTTGCTTTAATCTTAGAGAAGTTTCCGGATGGAAGCTCCGAACTCCTCAGCTTGCGACACCCTACCGGCGAGATGAACTGCTTTGCTGCACATCGCAGCCCGACATCCGCGAACACCTAGTCACGATGAGACGGTACACCGATGGGGGAGGTGGGTACCTAGCACTCACACTTGAGAATTACGGTAGAGTTAGTATAGCATCTATTAATGCAAGGTAGTATTTTTCAAAATGCTTAACTACACGTGTGTAAATCTCATTGGCAATTGTCATTTTTAGACCGGTGATCTTATTGCCTATCAAATTGCTTTCGATCTTTATGAGAACGCCTCGCAGCAGTTTAACACTCAAGTTTTGGAGACTTACGCTAATCACCATCAGCCATCGCCAAGGTTTGAAACATTTCGCTTCAGTGATGTTATATTGGTTGGGTGGTACTTAGTCGATAATTGTGGGAGAAACTTGTTCACATTCAAATTCGTTGATCCAGAATACGTTTTTATAGTATAGAAATGTGTTTTAAATAGGTGAAGGGTGGTTTGTTTCCCTTATAGGGTAAGAGCATCTAATGTGGAGTATTTTTTAACAGGGCGAATGTGAGCTATTAAGGTCTGCGATATATCGTCTGTTCTGTTACATATTCTATAATAATTTGGAGAAATGTGGATTTCCCTAGTGTTTTATTCTTATTCGTGTTCTCTCTCTCTCTCTCCCTCTCTCTATCTGTCTCTCTTTCATTCACTTCCACTTTCTCTCTTTAAATCATTATTTATCGTTTGTAAATCTACATGTGTGAATAAACAAGATCATTTTTACGGTGTTTATAACGGTGGTGATTTAAGCACTCCAACATCCAAACAGAAAGGGTCCAGTATAACTGAGGGTAGTGCTGAACAAACGGAAACATCACCGAAAGCGGAAGAGGTTTATTACAGATTCTTCTTTTTCTTAACAGTTTTCGTTTGCTAGGGTGAGATACAGTGGTTTTCCTTGTTTTTGCTAAACATTAACCAGTTTAAGTCGGCTGCGATGTCTCGGCTTAAAGCTATTCTGCGCGGTGAAGAGACGGTGAAGCACCATATGCAGTTCCTAATTAAAAACAATCATACGGATATGTTGATTTTAAAGGTTGGTAGGTAGTGTTTAGAGATGCTGGACAATGTTTTTTTCTTTTGTTGGTTATTATGTGTTCTTATCTAGCTGAAATTTAGGAGATGAAAGACTGTGTTAGGACAGCTACTGCCCACAATGCCACGTTGATGGCAAACGGGCTCATGCATTTAGGAACCACTTGTGATGATTTCTTGAGGTCATAATTGCTTTCATCGGTTCGCACCAAACCTCTCGATTATCTGAACTTCCACTATAAATGTTTAGAGACAATCTTGATTGGATCAGTAAAGCCACTAACTGGAACAAGTTTAATGCCGTAGCTACCTTAGGTCTCATACACAAGGTAAGATAAATTGAAGCAATATATTATTTTGTTTTAATGGCGACTTCATGTTTTTTAATCTGCTGAGGTTCATTACACGTTTAGGGTCACGAGTCCGCGGCAATGAAGCTACTTGATCCATATCTTCCTAAGAGCGAGCCTGATCAATACGGCTTTAAAGAAGGCGGTTCATTGTTTGCTCTAGGTTCGAATTCAGTTGCTACTTCATTTTCAACCGCGAAACCATCGGCATCTTTAAATGCAACGCAATTGATTCCTTAAATTTCTTAATTTGATTTCATAGTGTCCTCTATAGGGCTAATTCATGCCAATCACGGAACTGCAGACTGTATCAAGTACTTGCGTGAACAGCTTTCAGCCGCTCAGACCTCAGCAGTTCGTCATGGTGCATGCCTTGGACTTGGACTTGCTGCAATGGGTACACAGAACCAGGATGTGCGGTCTTCACTCATTGTTTCTAAGTTCATTGGTTTTCATGTGGAATTCTAGGTGTATTTACAACTTCGCGATGCGCTTTATCTGGATGACGCTGTAACGGGGGAAGCGGCAGGGCTGGCTATGGGCCTTGTGATGGTTGGCAGTCTTAATTCTGCTGCATTTCAAGACATGGTGCAATACACATGTGACACCCAGCACGATAAAATCCAGCGTGGACTTCGTACTGGTATTTCGTTATTGGGTTACGGTTAGTCTCTGCAATTTTCATGAGTTAATTGTTTTGTTGGTTGAAAAATATTGCGGGTATTTCTACTCAGTGTAATTTTCAAGTGTGGAATTTCTAAGGAAATCTTGTCTTCAGGACGTCAAGATGAATCCGAGTCTTATATATCTCAGCTGATCGATGTTAAAAGCAATGCAATGCTTCGTTCAACAGGGATCGCGTTAATGTCCATGGCATATGTTGGTAGTGGACGTGCCAATGTTGTTTCAAGACTTCTTGAGAAGGTCCTGTGTCGAATACAGTTCTTCATTAATTATTTAGTTATTATTCCATCACTTCATTAAAGGAGTATAAGTTTATAGGATTAAGATATAAGATAAGTAAAAGCTAATTTTCTACAACTGCTATCAATTTTTCTACAAGTAAAGTACTCAAGGAGTTGAAAACTTGCCACACTTATTAAATAGAGTTCTCTTTGCCGTTCTGAACGTCAAAGTGGTTTCTAAAAAGTGTTATTCTACAAGCTGTTTGTGGTTAAATTTTCAGAAAAAAAAGAGATGGGACCAAGATAAAAGAAGCCATTTTTTGCGCACGTATAGTGGGAATCACTATACATCGGAATCTAAGTGTTAACGAATAACTTTGATTGGTTTTCAAGAAGCATAGGAATACCTCTATGTCTCTCGTGGTTTCAGGTAGCTACCGATCCAAATAACGATGTCAAGAGGTTTGCCGTCATGGGTATTGGTTTCTTACTCAGCAAGTATGTGTTTTTATTATTACTTGCACAGTCTACGGCTGAGAAGTTTAACAAGCAAATGAATGCAACGATTTTAGCAGCCCTTCCATCTGCAAAGATTACGTTGGGATGCTCGTGGAGCACTTTAATAGTCACATACGGTATGGAGCAGCTATGGCACTCGGTATCGCATGTGCAGGAACTGGCTATAAGGTGCGCATAACAACGTAGCATTATTTGACGTTCAGTCTTCGTCTGTTTACTTCGAGAACTTTATGTGATGTCCAATCAATGTCTGATTGTTTTATTGTGCACAGGAAGCGATTTCGCTGCTTGAACCACTACTCTCAGCAAAGGAAAACTACGTACGACAAGGAGCAGTTATAGCACTGTCATTTATCTACGTGCAACAGACTGATGTCGGTTGTCTAAAGGTTTTTATTTAATGAAATGTGGAATTGGAGATGAATTTCCGTCGTAAATAGTGTACATCTAGGTTGGAGAGTTTCGTAAACAACTTGCGAAGATGACTACAGAGAAAGGTGAAGATTCCATGGCGAAATTCGGAGCTATTATTGCACAGGTACGTGTCGTAATTTGGGCGAAGCGCCTTTTCGCATCTAAGAGATATTATCAAGAATCTGTTTTGCGTACGAGGTCCCTATTTAAATTTCATGGTCTTTTCTGACCCTCCTAACGGTTTGCCGCCTCATCGTGGCTTGGAGGTGTTCCTGGATGTTGGGCTGAGTACAACGGGGAGATTCATCCTCCCGGCAAGGTCTCCCAAGCTGAGGAGGAGTCCGGCGTTTCCATCAGAAAACCAAGCTAAGACTAAATCATTGCCAGGATCCAGCACTGTCATGGTATCAAACTAGTCGCATGGTGCCAAATCTCCTTCTGATCTACAAGGGTGGCGACTCTTGTGGTGGTGACAACCTGGGGCAGACTGGCTAGGCTAATCTCTGGACTACAGGGAGCCACAGTGGCTGGACGATTAAAATTCCGAAAAGTGGAAATTATGCTGAGGCCCGTACAACCACTGATGATGGGTCGTCCAAGTTTCCAGGTCTTTTCCAACTAAATTTGAGGCGCAAGGTTAGTTTTGTAGGATCAGAGAGGAACTCTGACGGATACTTGATCAGACTGGTTCTTATCTTCGATTTATTCGTGTCCCACTTTTCTTTAAGAATTTCAACGGTGTGTAATCCACAGAAAGTGCTTCGAGCATTTGTTTTCATATCTATGTAATTTTTTATAGGGAATTCTTGATGTCGGGGGACGTAATATGACCATCTCACTTCATAATCGTTCTGGTACAATAGACATGGGCGGTGTTGTTGGCATGATGACATTTCTGCAGTTTTGGTATTGGCATTCCATGGTGCCACTTATTTCACTAGCATGTAAACCGACATGTTTGATCGCTCTCACAAAGGATCTTCAGGTATTTTCTGAAGTTGGGATAATTGTTGATGTCAAACTTTTTAGCAGGTTTCTTACACTGCCATTATACTCTGCTATTCTAAGTTAACAACTATCAGATGCCGAAGGTCGAGTTCAAATGTAACGCCAGGGCTTCATTATTTGCCTATCCTCCACCTTTGGAGTCAAAGAAGAAGGAGGAACATGAGAAGGTATGTCGCAATGTCGCTTCATAATTTTGCTCGGTAAACGAACCTTCTCGTATGACTTTTTGTTCGCACATAAGTGATGATAATCATTAAATTTTCTTTGAAGAAAGGCGCCTTATAAGTTTCCATCGAACTTATGTGTGTTCCACCGACGAATCCCGTTTTCTCAGGTTGAGACCGCTGTTCTTTCCATTACGCATAAGAAGAAAATGGCCAAAAAAGGTGAGGAGAAGATGGAAGTGGATGAGGAACCGAAACCTGCTAAAGAGGAAGAGAAGTTGGTTTTCCATAGTTAATAAGTATACTACCTTTTGCTTTAACTACGTAAGTCAGGTGGGCAAAGCAAATGAATTTCCTGAAATGGTCCCTCATTTGAATAATACTGGTGATATCTCCACATTTTATAAGGTTGCAAAAGCGTTTTAATGGTTATAAATTTCCATTTTTGATTGTGAAAAAAGTTACTACGTAAATAATACATTAATTGAGTATTACATTCTAACGGATGTTACATTTTAACCGCTACGAGTGAATATTATTCGCGTCAGACTAGCAGTTATTCCTTGGAACAAGATGAGCAGTAGGAAAGGAATGTGGTATTTTTGCGGACCACGAGATGGTCTCATTATTTCACAAGATCAACTATGGACGCAGTATATTGTTTTTGTTGAACAGTTCCGCTCTAGCGCAGATTTTATCTGCCTGATTGCCTTCTTTTCGAATTGCTTGTCAACACTGCACATTTCTGGATATATGTTATGTGTAGTCTTTGGTTTTCATGAATATCTCGTCATATCTCTTTTCAATAACTCGTTTAACGTGATGTAGTATCTGTAATTGTTCTAGAATGTATTCCAGAAAGCCGATACCTGATAACGAAGCTGCTACTCATATGATTGAGAATCCAGCGAGAGTAGTCCGCCTTCAGCTGAAGACGCTTTCAGTAGTGGAGAACTCAAGGTGACAAAGATTTTCGTCAACTATTCAAGTGGTATGGGCGTTAAAGTGTCTCATGTGTTCTGTTTGTTTCTTACTTATATTTCAAAATTGTTTTTAGGTCGTAGTTTTTCAGGTACAAACCAGTGAAACCGATCACCTACGGCGGGATTATAATGTTACTAGATAGGACTCCAGACGAGAAAGCAGAATTGGTTGTCCAGGTCTGTTATTACGAATCAATAAATGATTTTCTATAATGATTGTAGTGTTTAGGCAAGTATGAAGACTTTCAGAATCTCTGTACTAATAAGAAGAATTGAAATCGGTGTTTAGGCCGTTGCTGGAGGAACAACGTTAGATCCTGCTGCACCAGAGAAACAGCCTCACTCCACCTTCGAAATAGATCTCAAAGACTATTAATGTATGGATGCGGACACATAAAGGATAGATTTAAACTTTAGAGTGTTCTTCATACGTTCGTTTTAAGAGGATATTTTACATACTCTTATAAGATTTGGCTTGTATTTAATAATTTCTTGTTAAAGTGTGCATGACAAGTGCGGGAGATAAATAGACTATTTCCAAAGTTACAGCGCTGTTTGTCAATTGGCGATTTAAGGCGCATTACTGTTAGCAATAGCATAAGTTCTGGTTCGCGGACGTTGTGAATTCGTCATTCAATTCATATAACATAAGGTCTCCTAGTGAATGCTTACTCTCCTAGTGGCAATTCTCCATAATCGCTTAGATGGGTTAACACGGTGGTACTCCAGGTTTATAGTTCTGCTACAAATTGCAAAGCAGAGAATATAGGCTCGAATGCTATTGCTTTAAGCGAATTTGAAAACGTGACTGCATAAAAGACAAAGAAATACGGAAGAAAAGTAGAAAAAGGGTACCACTAGTAACGTGTGTCACTGTTCATCGTGTATCGTCCAATATTCTATCCCCACTGTTCTGTTGATATTTCGTCGTAAAAGTTTGGGCTATAGAACTATCGAGTCGGTGGTCTTCTAAGTGCTTGCCATTAATCCTGATCCCGGACACGGTACCTTATACGGCGGATTGTCTTCAGGGTTACTGTCGACGCATGTTGGAACGACTTCTGTCATTTGCATAACATGGAGTACTTGCTGGAAAGAGAGCTTTTAGTACTACGAGTGACAATGGAAGAACCAAGACAGCCACGCATTCTGTTCGCTGAATTCCAATCAGCATGCTCGGATCTGAAATTCATTGAATGTTCCGTATGTGTCAATCTTGACGTTGGAATTGCCATTCTCGACCTTGTAGAGGGTATGGATTTCTCCATAAGATATCTTTAAGTCTAAATTAAATGACCTCATCGTCACAACCTAAAGTTGAAGTATAGGCGACGAGCACTGTTGTATTCGGTGTTACTTCACATCGTTACTAAAGTAGACCTCTGATTCGGTTCACTAATTTTTTAGAAGAATCAATGTTTACGGCTCCTATTGAAAAAGATGGAAATCATAAACGTTGTCAAGTGGAATGTGCTTTTCTGTCTTGGTGAATCCGATAACGTCATAGTTAGTGTCCTTATCTTGCATCGTCAAGTTTTCAATGAAGGATTCGGAAACAGTGCAAGCGCTTGGTAAACAAAGCTCGGCTTCACGATCATTCGTAAGCAAAGATCAACTGCAAAGTCATTCCAGCTTTAGGCAGTCTAGGTTTGTTTTGACACTTTAGCTGCCTTTATACCTGGATTTACCTTTCATTCTTTTTTCGGTACTCTTTTGGATTTAAGGAATGGGGACCATTATTTTCACTGTTTTTGGACGTGAACATCCACAGAAAGCTCACCTCGTTTTGGAGTTCAGTGGAGTGCACTCATGGTCAACATTCCCAGCTATGTCAGAGTACACAAAGAGGTTATTTGTTGGAGACGATTCCTAGCCACCCTCCTACATGTTTCCCACTAGTTTGACCGCAGGATACAATGTGCATATACGTGAGAACAGTCATATACCTATGAATGACTGTGGGCGAACATTCAGGTGTACATGTCAACTTGAGACACAGGAACAGGACTCCATCTCGAGAGTCCATATGAATCTCAGAGCAAGCAAGTATATAACCGCTTTTGCCTTACATTTAACCTCTTGTTCACTAAATGAGGACCGTGTATCCCTCAGTAAGGGAGATTTGTGAAAAAAGAAAAGGGTAGGTCATTTAATATGGATAGGTTTAAAAAACCAGTTATTCCAAAAAACTGTCAATTTGTACTAAGAGATGGAAAAACAGACGAACCAGCACCGGGTAAAGTGTAATGGGACAAGAACGGAATAATTTATGGCGATCAGAGCCTTTGTAAAAAAAACTCGTAAAGTAGTAACGCAGATCTTTTTCTGTTTTTATTTTGGCTCATTTCTTTTAATAATTACTTGCACAATTCCAGTAGATACGTAGAAAATTGTTGTTTAACGCGACAATGTTAGATCGAATGCGGATCAACCAAGTTACCCCGTGGCTAACTTAAGCAAGTATTTACTACAGTATGACATCTAGGTTTTTTTGAGTATTCGAATGAAATCTAAACACGAAAACATAACGCGTAGCGAATAAATGATCACGAAAAAAGATACGGTAATACGTAAGAAGCTACAGTATGTTTCTCACAGTTAGAACGACCTAGTCATTTGTCTGAACGGATGGGATTTGCTTATTCATTTTCGACTGCCATGCCCAACTAAGTGAACTGAAGTAAGCATTACCAATTTCGTTATGATTTGATGCGACGATGTGATGTTGGAAGACGTCGTTGCTCTGGAAATAGGACACATAAGAAAATATTGATCCGATGTGACAATAGGTCAAAAAAATGCTTAATTTCTGTTGTAGTTACTTTTCAGAAGTTGGCTCTTAGAGAAGTTACTGTTCAGTTCTATATGATTTTTGTTGACGTCCACCACTGTTATTATTCAGGTATATGAGTCGTGAAGCCGACTGCGTATAATCCGCCTACCCAAACGACTAGCTTACAAGTCGGGTGTCTTCTACTTGTTAATTTTAATTCTGCTTGTGAAACAATATATGTAATTCATTGAAATTCGGCGAAACAAAATTGAATTTGGCAGTAATCATTCATTGGAAGATATATCATGCTTTCAATTCCATTAAGCTTCGTTTAAATGACTAAATGCATATCTGGCCTACGAGGTGACTCCTGGTGTATGAAGTAGTGTTTTTAACCTTCTAGACGAGCCTAGTACTCCTACTCCGAAAGCATGGAGGAAGCTGCTTGGTTTATTTGCAGCACGGCATTGAACCAGTGAGCACTTCCTATTCCCGGCCACTTTAGCCACTGAACTGTAAGCTTCAAATTCTCGGTAAGCTTATTTAAATTCTCACTTTCTGATTGAATCGGTCGTTCATTCGTTTAATGATCACTGGTAGCAACAATGACAATGTCGGCAACAACATACTACCTGCAAAACGGATTCTTGCAATAAAGAGCGCAGCAGAAATCCAAAATTTCTTGGAAAACCTACCATCAACTAGCGCAAAATATACAGGTTTGGAGAAAATATAGTTGAAATATAGTATAATGCACAGAATTATCAGGAAAACAGATGTGAATACGCAGCTTACATAACAAAACGGTGTCACGATAGTGATTGTTCTGAAATGGTGAATATCTAGTTCTTCAAATAACTTCGGTTTGAATAATTTTCAAGATGTTTATAGATACGCAATAGTTTCGAAAGATAATAGATCGAGCATTAATGCCAAAGATGAGTAATGAATGCTTGGATACTTGGACCGCCGGCCCTCACTGGCTATGCAGACCCCAGCACATTCTCCGTTTCTCGGAGTTTGCTGGTTTAGCCACTGTGGTTCTCTGGAATCCCGAGGATAGCCTGGCCAAACTCTGCCTCAGGTCATCACCACCACAAGCAGTTGTCGGTGGATTAGAGGAAGATTTTCCACGGTGCCACTAGTTCGGTACCAGGACGGTGATGGATTTTGGTATTGGTTTACTCTTAGCTGGGCTTCCTGATGGAAACATCAGAGTCCTCAACTTGGGAGAGCTTGCTGGAAGGATGAATTCTCTTGCTGTACAGCGCAGCCTGACACCCAGGAATACCCTCTGCCCACGATGAGGCGGTAAACCGTGTAGAGGGATGGGTACGTATGCTTCTGAAAGCAAAGATACGGTGTCTACATTGAATGCTATTTGAATTTAATCCATACATTCGCAAAAGTGCAACAGTCTTTTTTTTCTTTGCAATTTTCTGCTGTTAACATCTAGGGGCAATCTAGCATTCGTCTTTGGAGATATTAAGGTCGTACCTTACTTAAAGAGGGTAAGAAAACTCAATTAGCCCTCAATATCTAAGTGTGATGAAACAAAAGTTCCCGTGCTTGCACAAAGATCCCTATTTGGTCGCTGCTTTATATTTACAGGAAAGAAAATTCTATCACAGATCGATGTTGACCGCATTATTGAACGGTTCGCTGGGCTGACTGGGAAAGGGTCATGTGTCTTTACGAACGTTATTTTTCAGCTTTACATTGCCGTGTTATGGTAGTGGAGACAAAATACTAAGTCGGTTCTGTCTGTGGTTGAATATGAAAGATGTCATTTACCACAAATGCACTAAACTCATTGCCGTCTTAGAGTTTTCGACGGTACGTCAATTACTTCTACCGATTTCTCTAGACCTGTCCTTTTCAAGCAATGTTTCACAGTTGTGCTTAGTTCGTTGGAAATGAGATGAGGATAAGTGAAACCTTATTCTTCTCGCTGGAGCAATCATTTAAAGACGCAGTCTTTTTTCTCTACACCTTTCCCAAAGAGCTACTGTTTCGTAGCCATTGGAAATGGTTTCCACACCAATTTCACGAATTCTTCCTTATGTGCTCTTTCTGTGCATATATTGGTGACTTTTCGAAGCATATTTCTCACAAGCGCCCTTATTGTCTGTCAGGGGTGAGAGGAGAAGCAATGAACCAGTGTGTTTTTAGTACTTTGCTTTCGGTACCATTTTGATAGTACCCGTTTAGGGATAGGTTAATTTGAATGTTTAAGAATGGAAGCGAATTTTCTTTCGGCTTTTCTCGAGTGAATGTTATGTACTCTGACTGTTCATTCAATAACTCAAAGCATTTGTCCGTCTCCTCTTGTGTGGAGCAGTTTATAAATACTCTAGCGTCTCTCAATCAGTAAATTTGAACCTCAGCGAAATACTTCGCCGGACGCATAAAGGAAACCGAGACATTAAGGGAAACATTTTGAAGTAGAATTCATCATCCTCGCACAGGAAGATGATATCTACTTAGAGCCTAAAAAAGAAAAAGAGGTAAAAACCTGAAACTGTAATATGAATTAGTTCCAATATAGTAATACCTCAAGTTTTCCTCGATATTATAACGTTCTCGAAGATTTGGATTGAGTTTTTGTTTGGTTGATTTCATCTGAAACTTGCATTAGTAAAATTGGAAAGTACAAACTGTGGACTATCGGATACTTTTCATTTGTTTTCGGTTTTACTTCACCACTCATCAACTAACTGATAAAGCAGGTTTCATTCCCGCAGGCTACGTTAGGTGGACTTAGCTCATTGCATGCAATATACTTCCTTTTCAGCGATTCATTGCCAAAAAGAACTTTTTTAACATGATCGCTGTATCGAGGTGATGAGTTCCTCCAGTATAAATAGCCGAATTAGCTTTGCTGGCTGCGAGAACGAACCAAGAAGGTCAAGTGTATACTGAACACCAGCGCTACCACTGCGTCATTCACGTCACTTTAGCATAATATGTTGTATTCCGGTTAATAGTTACTGAATATCAGAAAACATTCTTAACACATTTCCACCAACAATATAATTCTTTGATGTAACAAGTACGTTTCGATGGGTTTGATCTTATACCATTATTTTGTTTCTACGTATTTACCGATATTAGTTTAATTGTTGTATTTTGTGAAATACTTACCTCATTGACATAGCGCAATATTTTTAGGATAATAATGGCTGAAATTTGTAGCGTAATCAGCACAATAATTGGCACTATTGTTACCAATGGTCTATCAGGTGATGTAGTAATACAGTAGTAGATGGGAACTTTTGGAGTCCTCGTCGCTTTTCTGTACATCATCGCAAAGAGGGAGACAGAGAGAAAAAACTAAATAAATGCGGTTTATTTTCATTTTCAAAATATGCCATCCGTATCTCTATCACTTGTGATCTCGTTAATCATTCAGTAACTCAAATAATTAACGGTAAAGACCGTTTCAGCTTCTGTCACGCAACATAACTGCTCAGTAGGCTTCGCTCGCTTAAGGGCCACGATCCCAATT